CTATATGGACAGGATGGAATGTTCTTACCCAGATCCAACCGGCGACGAGGAGAACCGTCCAGCCGGTCTGGGTTCTCCTCGCGACAGTGGTGATGACGAAGCAGATTCTTTCCTCCGTCGCAGCACCGCTACCGATCCTGAACGTCGTCCACGTCCAGTATCTTCTCTTCCGCCCGGTGCAGCGCCACCCCGTATTGTAGGGAGCACGGGCTCCGACCGAACAAGATCTTCCCAGGCTTCGACTGACTATGGCGTCGTCCTGCCTGGCTCAGGAAACTTTGGACAGGCATGCAGTGGTGATGGCATCCCTGCCCACGCCAGCAACGAGGTGCTAAGCCACATCATGCCTCCCGGAGAGCTCCTCCGCATTGAAGATAATGAAGAGCTCGAAGACATACCCCGACCGCGCATGTATAGCTCAAGTCATCCTTCTCTGCCTGAGCACATCGCCCCCCTACTTCCACCCCCACCTTTCGAGGGCACAGCTACCCGTAAACCTTCAGACCGCTCCCTACTTAATGAAAAGGAAAAATCCGTCCGCAGTGCCTCTTACCCAACGAGTGACCTGGAGGACTCAAAAGTCTTCACTGCTCGCCGCGTACGCGTCCAGGAGCTCGGTTCCCGCAGCCCGCAAGATGACGACTCCACGAATACCCAGCCTGTCGCAGGACCCGGCAGCTGGCGTAACTCCTTCTCTCGTCTGCGAAGGAGCTGGTTTGGATCTTCGTCATCTCGCAGCGGATCAAACTCGCGCAGGGGATCAGATAAAGACGCCGAGGCAGTTCAATCTTTGCTCGGCCGCAGGCTTGGTGTAGGCCATACCCCTGCTGGAGAACGTCCGATGTCAGGCGTGAGCGCTAAGAGCGCAGTATCTGGAAATACGGTGTACCATGACGCAGTCTCCCGTATGGGCACTCCAGTTTCCCTTCCTTCCAGAGCAATCACGCCTGCGAGTCAGAGGGCAAGCGCAGTGCCTGCAACAGACTTTGCATTTTCTATGCCGAGTGGAGCACCACCAGCATATGATGATCCATATGATTCGCTGGGTAGTAGGGGTCCCAGCCCATTGTCTCCCACAGGCATCGACGTTCTGGATATACCAGCACCAGCACCTTTCTCATCTGCTTCGACGAGCGGGAAACCTTTGCCGCCAGGTCTTGTCCCATTGTCCAGTCGCCATGCATGGAGAGACTCGTTGTCCGTTATCACGGGCTCGTCAAATGGCGCCGGTATCACAATCGATGTTCTCGATGCTGAGCCGCCACGAGCAGGTGATGGTTGGAGGAACTTAGCTGGTGGCTTCCTTGGTGTCAGTGAAGGACCAGACCCAAGTGAACAGAGAACCCCGTTTGGAACTGTAAGTTTGGAGACCACTGTTGAGAATCTTGGACTAACGATATTTGGCGATACAGCCCCAAGTCATCCATCAAGGGAATCCCTTGGTCTCTGAGCGAGGGTCTTTGCACTCTATGCGTTCGCACCTAAGCCCCTACTCTGCACGTTCATCTTCAGGATCAGCACCCACATCCTTCGCACGTGCTTTCAATCTCTCAGGGTCCAATTCCTCTCGTCCTTCTGCAAATTCCGCCCACTCACGTGTAACAACTACGTCCTCTGCATCGCTAAATTCTAGTCGACCGTTTGGTCCTATCTCACCATCTGTGAGCGCGTTTGGATATGCAGATCCCTCGCAGTATATGTCCCGCGCCACTGAGGAATTTGAGGACCAGTTCGCAGAGCCAGGCAGCCGCACGTCGATCCTTGGTCCTATGCCCTCATTCTCCACTCGTTCAGCGCTCTCCCAACCAACGATCCGTAGTGTGGGTGGTACAACGGTAACGAGTGATGATACAGAGGTGACGAGAACGACTGTCACTTCTGGCTCTGAGGACGCGATGAGCACGCCTACACCATGGTTTCAAGAACGAATCAGGGCCGAGATTTGAGATGATCCAGCGCTATGAGATGCGTTCTCTTCCAAGCGCTGGGGTAGAGCTATTCTATTGATGCGATTTTTTCCTTACTTATTCATCTCTGTGAACTGAATGCTTCATTATACTTTCTGCGATACCTCCTGACTTTGCGATACCTATCATACTTGATCTTCTATGTAGATTACGGTTACCTCCTTACGACTGATGATGCGATATCTTGACTAAGATTCTTGTACGGTCTCTAGTGAATGATACACCGTCACTTGATTAATTTGTCGGCGCGCGTGCGATCGTTAGCCGGGCCATTCGAGTCACAGTCCTTCGGACCGATGAATGGGGGAAGCATTTCTAACCTGATACGTAGATGAGTTCCTAGCTTCTTATAGTAATCCTGCTCTCTTTCTCATGATCAAGCTCTCGCTCCTACGTGTATACTACTTGGGTAGAGGTAACAACACTGTTAGCTCCATCTTTCGGGCTGCAAATCTTATTTCCGTTTATGGCACTGATCCTATCTGTGCCTCGAAGTCTCAAATTTCACCGGCACCATTCAGGATGAGTTCAATGCTTCCATGTCCTCTGGACTCAGAACTGACCTTTCCGACGTCCAAAGTACGACAACCTTCATTCTCATGCGAATCCCGAGTCCTGTGCACTTGTCTACTGCTTGGCACCGATGTCAACCATGTACAGTAACTCAGATGTACAACTCGGAGCACGCACATTCCGACTCGGAATCAGTGCATCAGGTAAATACCCCAGTCCTCCCGAATTGGCCAACATTGATATTTGACTTGTAATCATACTAGCACTGTTGTATCACAATCTTTGTGCTGGGCTATATTCTGCAATATTTCACTTCGATCCCAATTTCCAAAACGCCGCCAATGGCATCAACATTAGCGGCTTTCGTGCGACGAACACTAGTGCGGCTAGTAGTGCTAGATAGAACGTCAGCGCAGAGAGTCAGCCATCAAATTGCTCAGATGACTGGCAATCACGGCAGGCTGTGCCGGAAACAAGGCGGGAAACGATCCATGCACTGCCACGTCAGAACATCGGTCAGGAGACGGCCGACGCCTCACAGCACAGTGCGTATAATTGGATGCTCGAAACACGAGAAGGGACGTTGTCAGAGACACCTTGTTGTGAGTCATAACAATCGACTCGCCGTCAAACGTCACACAACCTGTAAACTGCACAGTGCACGAGCAACAGCGGTCACGATGCTCAACGAAAGATCGCGAAAGCCAAGAACAGAAATTCTCAGGAGATTCGAGGCATCACGGATAATATATGATATTCGGGGTAATAAAGTCTATCATAGCATATGGGGTAACCTGAGGTGGCATGCGCAACCGCGTGCGATGTATCATTTTACTTACTCTCACTTGCTTATTCCCCATCGCAATACACACTCATTCGCAATAGAAAACTAAAATGAAATTGAGTGGGGCTAATATAAAAGCAGTCATCTTCCTACCGTCACCAGCCTCCACCCACCTCAAAGAAATCATTCAAGCCCTCAGCAGTCCATACCATTCTAAACAAACAATGCGTTTCTTCTTCC